TCTATCAACGCACAGCCCAAACCACTGGACGGATTGGGTTGAAATTTGGCATGCAAGTATATGTTATGACGTAGGCATCCGCTAAGAAAGGATTTTGTTTAATTCTACCCCCAAGGGGATAAAATATGGGATGAAAGTTTATATGAAACTTCGTCAATTTTAAACCAATTGGGATGAGACTAATCTTGCATAAAGCTACTATAACTTAGCCATCCCCTAAGAAAGGATTTTGATAAATTCCTCCCCTAAAGGGATAAATTAACGCGAGCGAAGCCGCGAGCAAAACATAGTCTTATATATAAAATTCTCGTGTCACACACATTACTTACCATACTCCTCCCAAACGGTTTAATCGATTTTTATGAAATTTTATATGCATATTTAGTAGGTCTGAGAATCGGCTACTATCTATTTTTCAAAACCCTAAATGGTAAGGGATATCCACCCCTAAATATATTTTTTTTATTTTTCCGACATAATATTTTATTATTATTTAGGATTGAAAAATACATGCAATCCCAAATTTTCACCCTTATAGCATCAACCCCTATTTTTTAATAACGATTTTAATTTATATGGCAATACAACATTCGCCGGGACACCTAGTATATATAAAAAACATCCAAATGATTGTTTGTATCGCAATGATATATCCCATAAGTTAGTTTTTGATAACGGTAGAACTCACTATCTCAGTTGACCAGTACATTGTTTTTTCCAATAGTGTACGAGGGAATTCCCGTCTCATATAATTCTTCTTAATTTATGTACAAAATATACTTCCAGAGGTCAATTAATAGATAATAACGATAAAATGTGGAACAGAATATAATTTTTAATGACCATATTCTAATTGTATTTCCACCTACGGACAGTTAGTCCACACATCTATATAATCTTTTGTATTCATGAGTATGATGGCTTGTATTAGTCTAGGTGTTTTTATATATAAATATAGAAAATAATATATAAGATATTATTTATATATCTATACATATAAATAAAATTGGAGTGTCTGTATGTAATATTGAAATAACAGTTTTTTACTACATGCATATGAATATAAATACGGTTTTTGTCTGTCTGTCTGTCTGTTTGTTCGGGCTAATCTCTGAAATGACGGGATCGATTTTGACGGGACTTTTTTGGCAGGTAGTTTATGTAATAAGGAGTAAATTAGGCTACTTTTATTTTAGAAAAATAAAGTTAAATTCCACGCAGACGAAGTCGCGGGAACATAATATAAGATAATTATAAATATATAGAATATAAATATACATAAGTAATGCACCATATGTATTTTAAAAAAAATGTATTTAAGTGTTTACTTGGTACAATATGCCGTTGTATGACTTGAATGAATATTATTATTGTACCATAATATTAATACATAAAGTAAAAACTTTGTATGAAAATTGTGTGGACAGAGTAGCATGAAATTTGGCTCTCTTATAGTTTATATAGAGCGCAGAATGCTATGTTTTTTAATTACGTGTAAAAAATACATTTAATTATTTAAAAAAAACATGACTCACATTACAGTATTATATTATATTTTTATATTGAATTTAAAACCTTTCATATGTATGTTAGTGTGTAAGGTATTTATAATGTGGGCCATTAGGTGTCTGAATTAAATAAATAAATAAATTACTATTATATTACACGACTGATACATAACAAATGCCAAATAGTGTAAATATTGTCAATTGCCAAATCAGCGAATCGCGGTTTGTTTTTTGTGCTGTTATCCAAGTAATTTATATATTGTACTAGCTTTTGCCCGCGACTTCGCTCGCGTTAATTTATTGCCTTAGGGGTGGAATTTATCAAAATCCTTTCTTAGGGAATGCCTACGTCATACTAGCTTTATGCATGCAAAATCTCAGCCAGATCGGTTTAAAATTGACAAAGTTTCATACAAACTTTCATCCTCTATTTTATCCCCTTAGGGGCAGAATTAAACAAAATCCTTTCTTAGCGGTGCCTACGTCATAACATCTACCTGCATGCCAAATTACAGCCCGATCCACCCAGTGGTTTAGGCTGTGCTACTAATAATATTCATACTTTTGAGCGGTCACTAGTTATCACAATATTGACAAACGAGAGTATATCTTTTTATATATAAAATTCTCGTGTCACAATGTTAGTTACCATACTCCTCTGAAACGGCTTGACCGATTTTTATGAAATTTTATATGCATATTCAATAGGTCCGAGAATCGGCTACTATCTATTTTTCATAACCCTAAGTGATAAGTGTTGTCCACCCCTAACATTACGTTTTCATTTTTTGGGCAACATTTTTTATTTATATTTTTTTATTATGTGTCTTTAAAAAATACATACAACCCTAAATTTTCACCCTTCTCTATTTATTATTACCGACCACCAAATAAACGGTTGGTGATATTATTCTATTATCACCAACCTCTATTTTTTATAGCGTTATTAATTTATATGGCAAAACAAGGTTTGCCGGGACAACTAGTATACATATAAAATGTGACACTTACACACATAGATTGCTGTATGTTACTCCATTGGTGCCGCATACTGGATTGAAGTCAGCTGTACAAATTCGTAAAGCGTTCACACAAGCCAACATCATCAAGAAGGCAATCACTGGAAATATATATATGTATTCAAAAGTGGAGATAAATAAATAAACAAATTGTTGACCCATTCGGTGTCGAGACCCTTGGTCCGTGGGGTCCTACCGCTATAAGTCATTTTAAAGAAATAGCAAAATGGTTAGTCGACATCACAGAAGACCGAAGAGCTGGCAGGTATGAACAAAGAATTAGTCTAGCTATTCAAAGAGTAGAGCTGCCAGTATCTTCGGCACCTTGCCTAAAGAGACTGTTAATATATATTTTAGTTATTATATCATATTTTTAAGGTTATTAGTTTTAGGTTCATTGTTCTGGTATATATTTTTTTCTGTATGAATAAATTTAATAAACAAATATATTTACGATATAAACATATATTTATGTATTACTAATGACTGCGTCTGTATGGTATTAATCTTTTATATTTAAATTTAAATATATTTATTCTAATGAAGTTTCTAAAATAAAAGTAGGTTACTCCTATAAATTTCACACGAATGAAACCACGAGAAATTAATTTTAATAATACTTACAAACAAAATACTTCATTGTTGTTACTTGTTTTTATTGTCACCTCACGGAATAACGTTTGGTAAATAAAATTGTTGTTTTATATCGAACTAGAATATATTTTATCTATAATTTTGTATATTATCTGTTAATTCATGGGTTATAAATTATTTAGATTTGGAGAGACAGGTAAATCCTTCCTAATAATACTATAAACGAGAAAGTTTTGTATGCATGAATGGTTGTTTGTTGATATTCCACATAAAACTACTAAACTAATTAAAACATAAGTTCTAAATCTGAGAGCTATCTTGACAGAGATCTCTATGGTCTTATTACAAAAAAGAAAACCCTTAAAATCGGACGAAACCAGGTCTAATCTATAATATTAAACCAATCCTAAACTATAATATGAACGTATTGTATAGCAACATAGTGTTATAAATTGATGCCAAATTAAAAGATTAAGATCTTAAGTACATAAAATTATATTTTATTATCGTTTAATCAAAGTGTGAACATTTGTATCTTTGTTGTATTCTGCTTTTTTTTAATGCGACTGAAATGACAGACAGGCTTACACTCCCCCCTTCGATCTACTATATATGTATATCTTACTAATATTATAAATGCGAAAGTTTGTGATTATGGATGTTTGTTACTCGTTCACTCAAAAATTACTGAACGGATTTTCATGAAACTTTACAGTAGCTTATACATCAGAATAACAGATAGGTTATAATTTAAACAGATATTATGTAAATTGGGCGATATATAATGATAAGTGTAATGCAGATGAAATCGCGTGGGTCAGCTAGTATAATATACATGAACACTGAGGTTCCAGTGTGTGAAGTTGAAGGTACATACCTTCAACTCCACCCACTCGATGGTCTCGGATACTGAAGTTTCGGAGATCTTTCCTTCCATCTACACTTAATGGAAATATAGTTCGCCGTCGAGGTTTTCTATAGAAACTACGGCATGGAATTTTATATTATGGTTTCTTAATGCTGGACAACTCGCACGTGACACCTATGGTGCGTCAATAGGCTTCGATTTCCAACAGATCGGCTGTATGCATATTTTCCACAATAGTTGTATGAAAAAAACATAACATCATACGATTCGCCCATCGCCCTTTCAGGCGTCAAAACCTGAGAAGTAAGATGTTACTGTATACTATATTTTGACTGGCATAGTTCATCCTCTAGAAACAGATCATAAAGCTGCTTTGCGGCTTTCTGAATTCATTTCAAGCGTTACCTTCTCAATTAGTGATCAAATTCCGACCGTTATTAAGTGTTTTGTTCATCATTAGGCAATGAATAGAGTTTGGAATCCTAGTGTTGACTGCTCAGCGACTAGACTACAATAAGCTGGTCAGCTTTCCACCGTGAATTTTTGTAGTCTCACACATGCTAATGGTAGCTTTACGGTAATTAGAATAGGTAAGATAGAGGTACCCAAGCAGACGAATTTATAAAATCTACCTGAATAATTTAAATTTCCATAGCTTTGCAATAAAATGTAGTTCAATGTGGTAGTATTTTATTTATAAAATTCAGTATTGTTTTGAAGGAATCCACAAATTCAAAATGATTTATATTACTTTGTTTAATTCTGCTGCCATTATCATGTATAAGGTCGTAACCCTTGAAGAGTATATCCCGTACCCTATCTAGTTGGTCAGATTTCCGCATTGAATATTTGTGAATAACGATAGAAACTTGATCACCATTAAACAAAGTCGTAATGCTTCCAGTAGCGGTGATCGGATTTCCGCACTGAATATTTGTGGTCTCACACATGCTAATGATAGCGGAATGAAACAAAATAATATATCAGTAAATTATACAATATCAATACACAACATATATTGACGACCTCGGTGGTCTAGCGGTCTAGCACACCGCTTTACGACCGATGGTCGCGGGTTTGATTCCTCGCACGGCACAAACATTTGTATTCATGAGTATGATTGTTTGTATCGGTCTGGGTGTTTTCTATGTATAATATGTATGTATTTACAAAATAAAAAACATCTATGTATTTGTATCAGTTATCTAGTACCCATTATACAAGCTTTAGCTAACTTAACTTGGGTCTAGATGGCGCTGTGTGAATTGTCTTGAGATTATTATTATATAATTTCTATTTTCTAAAAATAACGTCATTTCTCATAGGCATGTTTAGACGTAGGTGCATTGAATGCACCTTCCATGGTAATTCAGCTGAGCTCCGCTTGTCTCTAAGCTGTAATTAACAAACCACACTTTATATAACATATCACCATCTAGTGCTAAACTAAGCAGAGTTCCATACTACTTGAATTATATATGAACTAGCAACCCGCCCGGCTTCCGCACGGGCACTTCACGCACGATCCCAATTTTTATTTATCTTTAAAAACTGTTCTACACATTTTAGTAAGGCTATTTTTTTCTAATCTAATCTATAAGAGGGGGAAAAGGGATTGTTAGTAATGTGGACTGTTGATCTTATTGCTAGCAATGTAACATGTCAGGTTGACCTCCACGCGTTTCCCCCATGGAAACCATCGTGATAAATTCTTAATAAATTTGTCACGATGGGCTAACTGACCTGACCTTATGCTCATCTTATCATCTTCCACTGGTGCCACTCCAGCGTAAGCGCAAGCCGACGCTCCATTCCATTATCATCCATAAAAAGTTATTCTTTTATTTTAAAGTTTCACTCAAAATGAATATGTTTTACCACATTTTTTATTGCTGCTTCACTCCTATTGATCGTAGCGTGATGTTATATAGCCTACAGTACTCGGAGATAATATATTTGAAACAATGTAAGAATTTTTAAAATCGAATCAGCATCGAATCCACGACCATTGAAGTAAAGCGGATCGTTAAACTATTAGAGCTGTGAGCGTCAAGTAAGATAGGAAGGGCTAGTAGATATTATACTTACGTGCAGAGATTACTATAGGTAACCCCGTTGGTGCCACAAACTGGTTGATAGTCTTGCAAACAATACCGAGGTTCAGCAATACATCCATAAACCAACACGACCAACAGAATAATCACTGAAAATATATAGGTTATTCATATTCTTTATTGCACTTTTAAATACAGTAGTAAACTTAAATATATACAGAGTGAGCAAAGATGGACTTATCTCTAAAAGAGATAAGTGTGGCAGTGAGGCATAACTATTAGTGAATTGGTAACACATGTGCAATTAACAATATTTTGTTGAAATGTCCAAAAATTGAGAATAATAAAAAACATTTAAAATTAAACAATTTAAATAATGTTCTAATTATATTATAACTATAATAAAATACACAATAATAAATTAAATCAACATAAATAATATATATATATATACAAATACATATGTAGATATTATATAAATATAATTATTATAGATATCTACATATATTACACAAAATACAAATAATTATAAACACAAATAAACGAGACGAAACTAATTATACTAAGCTCGATAAATAGTGTGATTATCTTTTCACTACTATCATAAATGCTAAAGGTTGTGAGTATGGGTAAGGATGTTTTTTTCGGACTACTCTAATGCTGTTGGCCGCAGCTGGCCTTTACAGCTTCAACGGACGATTGAGGGCGAGTGCAGATGGCATTCCGAACCCGCGGAAGGACTGATGGAGCGGCTGAAGGTCAACTCCCGCCTGGCGGATACGACTTTAGTCTGAGCGCACCGCTAGGGGTTCGAACCTCGGCTCAGGCCGTCGTAATTTCGATACCAATTTGAATTGGTCGGGGAATCGATCGGAGTATGTATGGATGGATATTTGTTACTCTTTCACACAACCCCCCCCCCCCCCCCCCCCCCCCCCCCCCCCCCCCCCCCCGTGTGTGTGTGTGTGTGTGTGTGTGTGTGTGTGTGTGTGTGTGTGTGTGTGTGTGTGTGTGTGTGTGTGTGTGTGTGTGTGTGTGTGTGTGTGTGTGTGTGTGTGTGTGTGTGTGTGTGTGTGTGTGTGTGTGTGTGTGTGTGTGTGTGTGTGTGTGTGTGTGTGTGTGTGTGTGTGTGTGTGTGTGTGTGTGTGTGTGTGTGTGTGTGTGTGTGTGTGTGTGTGTGTGTGTGTGTGTGTGTGTGTGTGTGTGTGTGTGTGTGTGTGTGTGTGTGTGTGTGTGTGTGTGTGTAACTACGCAAGGATTGTTGATGAAACTTTACAGTCATATAGCGTTTCCGTTAGAATAGAATAGAATAGAATATAAATACATAGATAAATAAATACATATTATACGTAGGAAACATCCAGACTGATACAAACAATCATACAAATGAATACAAATGTCTGTATCGTGCGAGGAATCGAACCCGCGACTATTGAATAGTAAAGCGGTATCGTAAACCACTAGACCACATTGGCTGTCAAATGTAAAAATACTTACCGCAAGAATAATTCATTGTAACTATGGTACTGCTCTGGTCGGGTTAACAATGAACGTACAAACACACTTCTGCATATTTATATTGAGATCAAATGACCCTATGAACTCCGAGATACACACAAATTATACACATAACAAAATTGTAACAGGTCTGAACATCATAAATTTAATAACGTTGTTTTGCGTTAATATAAAAAAAAATTTAGGGCTGATTGTGTTGGCCGATTCACAGACCTACTCAATACGCTCACAAAATTTCATGAGAATCGGTCAAGCCGTTTCGGAGGAGTATGGGAACGAAAACTGTGACACGAGAATTGTATATATAAGTAACTTTCTAACTTTATTTTGTTTTTTTTTAAGAGTTTGTTCCGAAAGCGTTAACTTCAGGAACTGCTGGCTAGTATTGAAGGTTTTTTCCGAGCCTGCCGAGGTTTTTCGAAAGACCTCGAGGGGTTTTTCAAGAAGAGTATATTAAGGTTCCATAAGGGTATGAAACGCTTTGATATATATCACGATATAAATTAATTAATTTTTATCTTGATAAATATCATTTAAATTTTTTCCTCTCTTCTGAATTAAAATTATTGGAGATTAATGTTTACCCTGGCAACACGTAGCGAGAAACTATAATTCAGAATAATTTAGACTGTTTCCCAAAATGGCAACCTCATTTAAAGTTGGGGAAATCCCCTCTAACGTATGACTAGCTATTTATTGAAATTCAAACCTTAACTTCATATCGTATAAGGTATATTTTACCAATATGATGATGATCTTCCACTAACAGATCTATGCTTAAGGCTTGAAGCTGATTGATTACTTTTATGATCACAAATTATTATTAAATTTTGTTAAATTTTGTCCATTAAAAAAATATTTTTCAAATAAACACTAAGTAATTCTTTTGTTACTTGTGAAAAGTTTTTTAAATAATAAATGTAGTAATAATTTGATACTTATTTTATTTTATAAATCCTTTCACATTATTATTTACTATCCTTACTAATATTATAAATGCGAAAGTAACTCTGTCTGTCTGTCTGTCTCGCTTTCACGCCAAAACTTCTGAACCGATTTAAATGAAATTTGGTACACAGATAGTCTAGAACCTGAGAAAGGACATAGGCTACTTTTTAATCAGAAAAAAGGATTGTAAGGGGTTGAAAGGGGAGATGAAAAGCTATATGGAAGTATCGACAATACACGCGGACGAAGTCGCGGGAACATCTAGTATTTATTATATACCTTTCACGTATTATACACTATGATAGTCATTTCTTGTGCAGAGTAATAAACGAAATATAGAAGAGAGAAAGTGGTGAAATATGAACTTCTCTGTGTTACTTTCGCCTTCGTGTTTCCGGGAGGCATCTTTCTATATAGGTGATTTGTGTAAGTACCCATTTTGTATATTCGACTCTACTGGAATAAAAGGCTGATAAATCTGTTTGATCTTCACGTTAAATTTAGTTTTTACTATCTGCTCCCGTGACTTCGTCCACGTGGAAATTAACTTTATTTTTCTAAAATAAAAGTAGCCTTATTACATCGACTAGAAAGTCCAGCCAAAATCGGTCCCGCCATTTTAGAAATTAGCTGGAACAAACAGACAGACAGATAGACAAAAATTGTAAAAGATGTTATTTTGGTGTATGTACCGTATTTATATTCGTATGCATGTAGTAAAAAAACGGTTATTTCAATATTACAAACAGACATTGCAATTTTATTTATATGTGTAGATATGTCCCTAGACGGTGTTGTTAAATTCTTAGAATGCGCTATATTGTACGCAGTGTAAAAGACACTGTTGTCTTTAAATAAATAGTGTTATTATTGCTTCTGACGTGAAAGTGTATATTTGAAGCAATGGACAATGTAATACCCTTTTCAATACAGTCCACTGAACGTCCACAAAATATAGAACTGTAGATTATAACATTATTTATTAATTATAATTTCTTTTCTTTAGCCTGGCCTTGGTCCCATTTATTTGGGGTCGGCCCGTCTGGTCAGTCTTCGCCAGGACGTTCTGTCCTGTGTCGTCTGGGATGTTATTTTGGCGCTTTTTATATCCCTCTCAATAACGGACATCCATGTGAGACGGGGTCTGCCGCGTCATTATTAATTATAATTTATTTTATATAAAACATACATATATTTAAAATAGATATTTATTCGATTAATATAATCTGTAATGTTACCTTCTAACGACAGACAGACATCTTTAGAAGTGAAGTCATTCAAATCTTCAGACGTTAAAGTAATTTTTAAAACTTTATGAGGCGAAACGGGAATATAATAAGATATGTCATTGTCGGTTGAGATATAAAAACTATAGAAAAAACCTTCCTTTGTCTTTTAAATCTGGAAAAACTTCAATATATTTCTATGTTTGAAATAATTACTGGTTGTATTATATGTTAAACTGGAATTATATATATATGATTTAAACAGCTGTTTTAAGATATATAGAAGAATACACTTCCAAATTTATAATATCTCTCTGAGTTAATTCACATTCAATGCCATCTTTACATACCATGTAAGAAAGTCGCCGCCGATGTCTATTCGTTTATATCTTTTGAATTACGCAACGGATCTTAATACAGTTTTCAGCAATAGACAGAGTGATTTAAAAGGAAGGTTAATATGTGTAATACAGGTGTGTTATAGTATAGATGAACCCGAGAAATTCAATGATTTGTAATCATCCGTGCATCCGTGCGAAGCCGTGACGGATCGCTAGTTATTTATAAAATGTATTCTATTTTAATATAAATAGGAACCAATACAAAGTGTATTACATAAGTATTACATATATATGGATTTGCAAAGTTGATTATTCAAATATTTGATATATGTAAATTATCTTGTTGTATTAGGTTAAACTTGTTGAAATATTTGTATGATTAGTGGTAAATAAATAAACATTAGTACGGATATCAACAGGCCGATGCCTGTATATTACAGACATTAAAAAAACTACTGTTATAATTTATATTAGTTTATGTGTTCTCCTTTTTATACATATATATAAGGTGTACTTAAACTAAAAACATATAATTTTTATATAAATCATAGCTTTCTAATGGAGCGAAATACGATAATGTTACGGTATAGAAAAATAACTGTTCTTAAATCAAATCAAAATACCATTATTCATGTAAGTCTATTACAGACATGATATGTTATCTCTACTGTCAGTTCGGAGTGCTTTCGAAGCAAGAAAAACTGACAATAAACTCAGCTCTTATACTTTTCAAATGAGCTTGAATATGTTTACAAAAATACAGATTCATTTCTAAATTCAATTAGCAAGTATATAGTGGCCACATGTGTATGCTATTGTTAATTTTGTTAAAAAGAAAATAGTTTAATCAGTGTAAGTAAATAAATAATAGTAATCTGAACAGACCGACGGGTACAGCTTGTGGGGACCAAGCTGCACTCGTTCACGAGTATGGCATATTATAGCAACATTATTCAGAATAGTTATCAATCTATCTCAATATATGGTTCTACACGCATCATTAAATCTAATGAATAGAATTGAGATCTAATTCTAGAATTCAGATCTAAATTACTAGTTGTCTAACTTAAAATATAGGATCCGCTTTGCCACAGGAAATTGTCTTATTCTGTACGAAGTAAGGGTGGTCGCTAGTTGTCTTAAGACGAATTGCTAGACCCGCATTTTCCATGGTACGCCAGTTTAGCGCCCGCTACATTTAATCTGTAAATGAGAAATAAATTAACAACCCTGGATATAACGCAGCACCTCGGGAGAGGGGAATAGTAATTTTTATTTATTTCAGGCAACTAGGCCCATGTTATGGTCAAAGCCCAGTTCAAGTAAGAGAACTGACGAGCAACACGTGTGTAGTATTACACGAACTATTTGGAGACACATTTGAACTCCTCATAACTCAATAACTCTGTCACATAAACGTGTCAAATTTTGGCTCATATTTGACTCTCTCATATTGAGACTTGCGAATATTTAAATATTAATGTCATGTTAGACCTTAGGCTACAATATATTATCCTAAGATATTTTATGTAGTTATAAACAAATATCAGAACTGACCATTGAACTAGGCACCCACTTAGATGTCGCTTCTTTTGTCGTTGAAATCAACAACCAAGGCAAATATTATAATATTGAATTTGGCTCTCACTTCACACTTATATTTTTGATGGGATTATAAATATACACTAACATATATATTAATTAATATTATAAAACTAATAGACTGATATAGTCTGTGTGGTTCGGACAGTAGTACTTTTTCATGAAGGTGGGCAGCATATCGGTGCATTTAAATTACATAAAAAACATCATAGTTAATGTCTGACTTCGTGGCGAGGGGGTAGTAGCGTCTAGTTTTAAAAATAAAAATAATAAAAAAAATGCTTGCATATTAACTTTTCATCCATCAAGCCATTTTTTCCGCAAAAAAACCGTAGTCAAAAAGCAAGTAGTCTGTGTCATGTTTCAAGGTCTAATCTAGTTTCGGCATGAAAACGCGACAGACAGATAAAATTATTTTCGCATTTATACTTCTAATATTAGTAAGGATTAAAAAAGTACTTACTTGCATTGATTGCTGTAGGTAACGCCATTAGTTCCACACACTGGATCGTATTCGTCTGTACACACCTGGGCACTGCACCCGTAAGCCAATGCGATCAATAAAAAAAATACTGGAAATAAAATAGTGACAATTTCAAAATATAAGAGTAAAAAATGCTAATAATAATAACATTTGACGCCCTCAGTGGTCTAGTGGTTTAACAAACGCCTTACGTCCGATGGTTGCGGGTTCGATCCTCGCACGGCACAAACATTTATATTCATGAGTATGATTGTCTGTCTGGGTGTTTTCTATGTATTTACAAAAAAAAATCTATGTATTTGTATCAGTTGTCTAGTATCCATAACACAAGCGTTAGCTAGCTTAACTTGGGTCTACACAGTGCAGTAAAAGACATAACTCTTTATGATACATGGACAGTTATACAGAAAAATAACTTTATATAAATATGCTAGTTAGAGCAAAATCTGACA